TATTCAAAAAGTTCAATGGAATAGAAAGTGAGATGCAACCTCTGCAAAACATCCTAGAAATTTGTAAAAAAAAATATTGACAGGAATTTATGTGGCATTTATTAAGTTTATTAAGAATTTAAAATAATTAATATAAGTATGGCTTTTTCTCAGAACATGCTTAAACCCAGTCCCAAACTGAAAGAAAGGGAAGCAAAACAGACTAGAATTAAGTGATTCTCATTGCCAGTCCATAAAAACACACCTCACGCTCATTCTAATTTTCTCATATCAGAAAGCCAAAGAATATAAAACTAAGCTTGGAAAACCAAAGTTGTGGGCAGAGATTTTCCTGCATATACTGTACACATGGTGATTCGTATTTGGATTTTTTTTTTTAATTTAAACTGCAGCTTACCCTATTAAAACTACCCTGATTTACATTTATTATCTTCAAGAGTTTCTGGAAAACCTACACGACTGATGTAGTGCTCTTTAAACAACAGTGAAAAGGGGGAAATAATTTTTTTTTGGCTCATGCCTTGCAGGTCCCATTGCCTCCCAGGTGCTCCAGGCAGCACATTATGAAATCAAAAGCTGTTCTTGAAACAAAAGGAGTCCTTTCACTTCTGAAAGACTCATTTGATATCCACAGAAAACTACTTGCTTTAAAAGAGCATCTAAGTCACTTGATTACTTTTAAGGGGATGGTCTCATCCTGTTTGCCACTCATCTAAACCTGTCATCTCAACTATTTTGAATGAGATGTAAACATTTCAAGACTGGGTTAGTTGTAGATTTCTGTAAAATGCAACATCACATTTATATAGAAAAAACTAAATGAAAGCAAGAGGGAACTTCCATTTGTCTAGTGTTACATACAACTAATGGTTTGACAATGTCATAACTGAATAAAAATATATTTATATATAAATATAAAACAGGAGATTAAAATGGAAAAGAAAACGGAAGAGGCATGTAGCATGATGGAATATTTCACTGTTGAAGAGATATTTGTTTTGAAGAGATGAAAATATAGATCAGCAGCCTTAATGGAAACCTTTAACAGTGCACAAGGTTAATATTTTCTAAATACACAAACTTCTTTAACTAGATCAGGGCCTTCAAAACAATTTAATGCCATCTTGTGGTCAACTGTGTAAATGAATTCAATAAATAAGAATCAGATCAGATTATTTTTATGCATATATGGAGATAGTGGGAATATTTGGCAGATCTGGGACACACAAATATCATAAACAAATAAAGCAGAGAAGAGAATTACATGATTTCCTGGCTTATCTCAAGACTATTCAGATATGCAGAAGGATATTTTTCCTGAAGGAAAGCACTCCTTCAGAGTAAACTGTTGACTGCCACAGTATCCCTTTTAAACAACCATCATCCACCGTGCTTCATTTCAGGCAACAAAAGTGACTTTTGTCAAAAGCAAGTAACAATTAAGGCACACTGCCCCAGTTCAATGCTTTGTGCAGGTGGAATATGCTTTCATGAGATAGATTAGATTAGATTAGATTAGATTAGATTAGATTAGATTAGATTAGATTAGATTAGATACAGAGAGAGGGGTACTCTTCGATTCACAACCATTTTTAATGACTGTTCAAAGTTATGACAGCATTGAAAAAGACCCAGATTTTGGACGGATTCTGTAAGTTAGCCATTTGAGTTTTGCCCATTTTGCCCAGTTAAAGTCATCATTTCAGAGATATTTGCTTACCAGATTCTTCAATGGCTTCAACAATGGCAGAGCTTCTAAAGCACTGGGAGAGTTCTTAAAAATTCAGGGAGATACTCAGAAATGTATGTGCCTAGAACACAGCCCATGTTGAACTGTATTATATAATCAAACATCAGCAGTTGACCACGGGAAATGCTTTATGACATTCTGTTTTAGTAGTATATAGATATATATGTTTCATATACTTAAATATAGACAATGAAAAACCAGGGAAAGGGGGAGAGAGAAAAAGATTTAGTTATGACAGAGGTCCCCAACTTTTGGGCACCAGGGACTGGTTATGTGGAGAGGTTTTTCCATGGACCGAAGGGGATGTGGTTTTGTGTGCTGCCTGCATCCTGTGGATGAGGTTTTCCTTGTTTGTGCGGACCGGTTGCTGGCATGCCGCGGCATGCCCAATACTGTCCACAGACCAGGGGTTGGGGACCCCTGAGCTAGGAGACTAAAATGAGATATTGGAGAGCAGATGATGGACTTTTCAAAAAATGAAAAATATGACCAAAACTAACAACAATGAGTTGAACAATGCCTAAAAGGAAGATGGAGGAATTAATAAGACACACAAGGCAAAATTACATTAAATCACTGGATGTGATTCTATTGTGTGTGTTAGAGTATGAGACAGTAAGAAGATTGTATTTTTAAATGAATGTAATTCAAAATAAAGTGTGCAGTGAGATTACACTGTTAGAAACACCTGTAGATATCTATTTTCTTACAATAAAAATCAAACAATAGAAACTAAAGAGAGTTCACATGTATAGGGCTACCTGTGAAGTTGAATTAAATTACAAAGCTCCATAAAATTGAAGGTGCCTTGTTGTTTAAAAATTACCTATTCTTTTATTCAACTTGAATAGAACAGAAATAGTTTTGAACTAGGTCATTTGATCTTAGTATGATGAGTAGATATCAGTCAGGCAAGTAGTAATTATTTCTTTTACTTCAGTTTCATTTCTAAAAATTCACAGCTAGAGGGCAATAAAGTCAGCATATTATGCAATCTATATAATTAAACAACTTGTGCATCCCTATTCATATAAAGACAAAGGAAAACAAGAATGTCCAATATCAGAAATTCACACATTAGGAAGAAATGAATGTCACTCTTTAAAAATGTCCCTTTTAAAACTGTAATCCGAAGCACAATAAATGCAAAAAGGAAGTGCCGTTTTCTAAAGATGCTTTTCAGTTCAAAAAATTGTTAGAACTTATTTATACGTCTATATACAATATCTGGTTATGCTGAATATATTGGAGTTTCCAGACACAATGTTTTCAAAAGTCTTCTCAAACAGAATTATGTTCAGATGACTATGACTACATTGGTTATCCTCTCCTTACAGTTTTTCCATCAATATGAAAAATCCAAGGATTTAATTATTTATGTACTCCCATCTCACTCTGCAGTTTATAAATTTAAGGAAAAAAGCAGAAGCACAGCACACATCATGACTAGCTAAAAGGACAGTGAAAAATTCCAGAAGCCAATTTTAACTAAAAGTCTAATGATAAACTCAACTCAAGCATTATGAAAAGTACTTAAAATGATATTCAATAAGGGATGCACTACATAGTTTCAATACTGTTGTACGTTTTAATTTCTGCTCCAGTCATCAGTGCGTACTGTGTTAGCTTGACCAGCTGTCTATAAGGAATATAAATCCTTCCATTCCCCACTATCCAGTCAGAGCTGAAGAAGCTTCTTGGAAGCGAAATGTCTTCAAAGAAAGAAAAACAAGAAAATCCAGTTGCCTCCTGAAAAAGCACCTTTGGGACTTAACAAATAGGGATATAATTCTCCAGAAAAAGAGAAAGAAAAAAAAATACTTGGGTTCCATGTAGGGAAGAATTTCTCTATCTGAATCTTCCTCAATCTGGTTTAACAGTTTTTAAATTACCGTATCTGTGCTATTGTCTATGTTTCTCCCACAATGTTCCAATGTTCTAAGAAACTCAAAACATTACACAGCAACTTTCTGTAAGCCGTATCTGGCCACTGCATGTGAACAAATCAGGACAAACTCCAAAATAAATGCAATATGCAGGATTAACATTTATCCTCTTTCATGAACTAACATTTTCTAGAGTTATTGCTTACAGCTTACGTAATAACCAAGGCCACAAATGGATTTTAACAGTTCTCTAATTTTCCATCACTGCAACCAAACCTGGAACATTGGGGCCAATTTAGGTTTTTGTGTTTTGTAAATTTAACTATTGTTAATCAATGTTTTGTGGGCCTCTCCCTTAAATAGAATTTAGGAAAGGAAATCCCTGCAAAATATAGAAAACTAGTATAATGCTAATCTTACCCGAATTAAAATAGATATCATCTGGCTTCTGTCTAATTTCAAATTTTTTGATTTTGACTTTTAAAATTAATTATTCCTCTCATTTTTGAGAGATAGCCTTCTCTAAATTAGTTCACCTATGTTGGGGTCTATGGCTGGATGAGAATACAGTAACAATGGAAACTATTCTATGTACATCATTTTAATATGGTTGTAGCCAATAGAGTCTGACATGCATGAGCAACACAGCGTTTATGCACCAGCTTTGATTTAAATGCGATAAAACTAAACCATCTTTGGGAATTATCCAAGGCAGAAAAATGTATAAAGAACGAAGCACACAGAGCCACTTGGTAATGCAAAACACGCATAAAACAAAGAGCATCCCGCCATCAGGAATCGCCGAGGAAGAAAAAAGCACGCAAACTCACACAAAAGTTCGCGAGCACTTTCTTTCCGCCCCCCCCCCCCCCAAACCCTCAAAGGCAAAGAAGCAACAAGGCTGACCGCATTTGATGCGATAGCTGACAGGGAAGCAGAGAGCCGCGATCCAAAGAGGTAAAAACAGAAAAAGGCGGCGGATACACTCGACGAGGACGTTTACAAGCTGGTTTCGCCGCAGTCAAAGGGCTGCGCACACAAGGGCTTTGGAGCAAACCGACTTAAAAACAAGAAGGACGTTTGACTGCGCCGCCGCCGCCATTTTTCCCAGCTCCAACAGCTGAGCTGTATATACTTTCGGGCGGGCGACGGCTCTGAGCGGCTTTTCTTTCGAGTGCAACGCAAAAGCAGCATCCCCCCCGCCCCCCCAGCGATTCGGCAGCGGACGTGCCGCTGCAAGCGTCGGGCCTTTTACGAGCAGGGCGAGTAACGGAGACGGGGAACCGGGGACTTGGCCGCGCTCGCGCCAAGCTGCAGAGAACCAGGGCTCGGGGAGGAGCGCACCGTCGCGCTCCCCGCTTTACCTTGCGGAGATAGCTGGCCACCACCTGCTCGAAAGGATATTTATAAACTCTCTGGGCCTCCACGGTCACCCCCATGCTGGGCGCGGAGCCACCACAGGCCCCTTCCTGCGAACTCGGGCCAAACTCGGGCGGCGTTGTCAGGCAGGCCAGCCGCCTAGCTAAGGGCCCCTTTCCTGCGCCAGGCTCCGGCCCTCCCCTGCTGCACTACGTATAAAACTTTTATGACGGGCTGTGGCATTGCTTGCAGAACCAACACCGTCCTAGGTCACAATGTAAACCCAGGGCCAAACCGCGGAGGGGGAAAAGGGGAGTAGGTCAGAGCTCGCTCGGCAAGGGAGCACCGGAACGCCCTTTCCAAAAACGGCGCGTTCTCTCGGCGCCCCGAAGGGTGGCTCGGACTTCGCCGGCCGCGGCCTCAAAAAAAAGGAAGCGAGGGCGGCGCGGATTATTATCCAGCCCGCGGTGCTAAACCGCACTCTCGACTCCCGTGTCTTTTGTTAACGTAGAAATGCTGCCTTTAGAGGAAAAAAAAAAGGATTGATGTAACGCTTTACAGGGAAGAACCCGCTCAGAATCCAATTAAGGCAGCGGCTTTTCCCACGTGCCTCTCGCCACACCTTCTCGTCCTCCTCCCCCTCTCTCCGAATACGGGTCAAAGTTTGCGCGGCTACTTCTGGGTTTTCAACTAAAAGAGGCGATTCCCTCCGGGTTAGTCCCTCAAGTTTAAGTGCTGTAAAAGGAAACGGGTCGTTGCAGATAGCCCTAGTACAGGGGTAGGCAACCTTGGCTCTTTTATGACTCGTGGACTTCAACTCCCAGAATTCCTGAGCCAGCACAGCTGGAGTTGAAGTCCACGAGTCATAAAAGAGCCAAGGTTGCCTACCCCTGCCCTAGTAGCATCATCGTCGTGGGGAAACCACGGCGGGCAGCAGCACATTCCCTTCCAGAGTGGTCAGGCATTCGGAGTGGTCGAACGACCCACATTCGAAGGTGATTCGACGCCTGCCGGCAACTCTACAGAAGTATTTCGTGGACTCGTGCGGGTCCTGCTGCTCGTTTCCCAGAGCAGGGATTTCACGGAGGTGCCGGCAGATGCTATGTGGGCGGCACAGGCTCCGAATAATATTTTCTGCATCGAATCCGGATGAAGTAATTTCAGATGATCAACTAAATCAGAGGTAGTCAACCTTGGCTCTTTTATGACTCGTGGACTTCAACTCCTAGAAAGGAATTCTGGGAGTTGAAGTCCACGAGTCATTAAAGAGCCAAGGTTGACTACCCCTGAACTAAATCTTCTGGGAAGATTTACTTAGCTGCGAATAAGTATTTTGTGGCTGAAAATTACCACACACTATTTTAAAAAAAAAAAGATCTCAGGCAACAGTAGAGCCTAGCATAGATCTGAATGTCTGGCTTTTGTTTTTTTTTAAATCCTGGTGTCAAATTAGCCCAAGAATTGATGTTAAACCATTTTCCTGTTGCCCCTAACGCCCACCACTACCTGGGTGGTTATTTGCTTCCAAACAGCATTGAAGTTCAGTTTGCCTGTACCAGCTGGGAAGCCCTTATTTGAAATGAAATATATATGAAATAAAAATGCTTAAGTTATAGATTATAAAACAAGTGGCACAGCATGCAACCTTCTGGTAATTGTGCTACTGAATGTTGGAAGCAAACCACCAAGAAAAAAGTGCAGTTTCTCTTTTCTGATGGGAATTGTGCGTAAACTGATCCAACCCAGATGCACCCCAAATCCCATTAATACCGTTCTAACTCATTTTGGTACAGGTCCTGCCCTTCCTACAAATCTTAATAGATCAGAAGTAACATCACATAAATACAACACTGAAATATTTAACACTGCTATTCTGAAGTAAATATGATTGAGAGTGCAAAGTTTTACTGTCACAGAAGTGGAGAAAATTGACATCAAAGGGGGTTGGTACAGTAAAGAACAGTTGCCTACAACAAGAGATACTAACAATTACCACAAGGATCCATAACCTCAGGACACCTGCCAAGAAGGTCCCTTTCCACATCTTTGCACATCTTGTAGCGGAGTCACTTTGGATATTGACTTATAACTACAATTGATTGTTATAGGTGAAGTGGGGTGAAACTTTCAGACACCAACCCATTCAACAGTTTATTCTGGGAAAATTAGAGCAATGAGTATGTAAACAACTTTTTAGAGAAACGGGTATAACACTGCAAGATTTCACTGCAAAAATTTGAACAACCACTGGGTGGCACAAAGGGTTGTTTCTCCTATATGTTTGCTGCCACCTAGTGGTTTTCCATCCCACATTTGGAAGTCTTAAACAAGGATTCAAAAGCTAGTATTAAAAACCCAACATACCATATGTGCTGTGTGTCTTGCTAACTACTGGTAAGAGTAGCTTCTATATTATCAGGCACTGAATTCAGCTGTGGAATTAATGAATCCTAGTAGAGAAGAAAAAAAATTGCAGTGCCTCAAACCTTTCTGTGAATGGAAATTTGGCAGTTCTAGCAATCCATATCTCCATATCTTACTGCATGGATAAATATGTATTGGCTTCAAAGCACCACAGTCATTACTAATCACTCCTATTTTATTTATAATACTTTTGTAGTGGCCTTTTTTATTTAGCAAAAGCTATCCCTAGGCAACTTGTAAGCAAAAGTCTTGTTGCACAAAACTTTTAAAAAACCACTGTAATAGGAAATATTAATAGGAGTGAAAATTAATTTAGTTAAAAGAAAATTGGAGAATTCAGTCAGTTACACACATTTAAAAAGAGTCAAATAGGGAGTCATGCTTTCATCTCATAGGAAGTCGTTGCTCAAGGAACAAATCAACTCAAGAAAATCTTGTGTCACTTGTACTCATCAACATCATTGATCTTATTGGAAGCATGTAAGCAAAGCTGATTTTTAGAGACAAGACAGCCATCAAAAGCTTCCATTAACAATGTTCAGAGATAAATATTGTTGCTTTTGTAGTCCAACTGCACACAAGGGGAAGATATTAGTAGGCTCGGGGGAGTCATAAGATCTTCAGGGAAATTACAGAGAAAACAAAGATTTAAGGAGGCAATTCCTCCCTCACCAGGAAACCAACCTGCTGAAGATTCATCATGTTCAGTGGCCCTAGAATGATGAATGTCTACTACATGTGTGGAGGGAGAAAATTAAGGAACCGAGAGAACCGGAAAGATATATCCCCAAAGAGAGATACCAGGTTATTACCCTCAAAAGTTGCATACCATATTCAAACTTGTACTCAGTTACAGGCTATTTGAAGTGTTTGAGAATTTAGCTTAGTCTCCATTGAAGCAGTGTTATCCTAGTTCTGCTTTCACTGTTCATTTCTAACACCTTGGTTAATAGAAATTACCTATTTTCAGTGTAATTATAGCACTTGGGCTGACACTATACGTGATATGAAAAGGTAAAGGCTTGCCCTGTCCAATTGTGACCAACTAAAGGGGGTATGTGTGTGCTCATCTCCAAAGACATTTCTGTGGTCATGTGGCCAGCATGACTATATGCTGAGGCACACTAAAATGGTACCTATTTATTCACATTCGCATGCTTTCACATTGCTAGGTTGGCAGGAATGAGAGCTCACCCCATCACACAATGCCTGAGTCTTGAACTCCAGGCTGTCTGATAAGCTCACATCTTTAATATTTGAGTCATCACACCCTCCATATGTGATATAGAGGCACTCAATTTAGGCATGTTTAGATTTTTAAAAATGGCTGCAGTCTTAACTGAAGAATTGGAAAACTAAATAGGGTACTGGTCCATTTCGCAAACTGGTATCAGGGTACTACAAGTGATAGGCTGTAGATCCCATTGATGCTCCAGCCAATCCTGGAGGCCACTGATACTGCCCAAGAGAAAAGGGATAGAGGCACAGGTGGCCACTGAGAGAAGCTAAAATTGTGTGATTGGAATCCCACTCTTTTTACATACATGTCATATAGCCCATGTACAAAAGGGATGGTCGCTTTGAATAACTGCAGCTGTCATCACAACCCTGTAGAAGCCCCTACAGAGGGGTCCTTGCCTCCTTATATTATTCTGATATTTTTGGCAAATGAGATTCCACGGGGAAACTACATTTTTGTATATAGCACTTCAGTCCTCTGCCTTTTGTTTATGTTGCTGGAACAGCTGGAACTGAAAGACAGGAATAGCACTTTACTAGGTACTTAACATTCCAATCAAGTATTTCCCTTTATTTTAAATTGCTGATGTAATTACAGTATACAAAGATAGGTTGAAACAATTTATTCGTATTTTATATATACAAATAATAAAGGGACGTGTGCACTTCCCTGTCTTGATGTACATTTTTGATTAACATAATTTATTTTTTTAATTCTGCAACTATTTGAAATAAATGGGATCATGAAATGATAAGATAATAAAAGGGAAGTTATAAATCATCCAAATAAATAACATTATTTATTTGTTATTAAAGCAATGTCTTTTTTTACTTTACCCTGCAACAAATTGTTAAGTTTATAAGATAAAAGAAAAAGTTAAAAACTAGCTATGGCTTTTAAATAAGGTAGACAAATAGTAAATACAGAAAATGCAAAGAATTTTAGTCATATTCATACAGCTTGTACATTAATTATTTTTGTCATAAATGACATTCAGAGTGTTAAATTACCGCACCACATAGAACAACAGAACAGAACAGAACAGAATAGAATAGAATAGAATAGAATGGGATCTTGGAGGTCTTCTAGTCCAGCCCCCTGCTCGAGCAGGAGAACCTATATCATTTCAGACAAGTGATTGTCTAGTCTCTTCTTAAAAATCTCCAATGATTTCTGATAAATACATTCAACAAGGAAATTTTCAAATAATATATGACTAATATATGGAAGAATACAATTATAGAAAGGAATCTGCTTGACAGCAAATAACATTATCTCTGAATGAGAAGTTAGTTAGGAACACCCAAATGTAGTGTATAAATGGGAATCCATGAATGAACATATTCCTTTGGAGGAAAAAATGTGCATTGTTCTTGAATATATATACTGAAAAATCCCATGTAAATATATGGAAGCCATGTTAATGCCTTTGTGCTTCTATCAACCTTTAGAATCACAGCCAAGCAACCTGATAACAATACTGATAATTTTGAAATTTTCTTCCTGTTACATCTAAACAATTCCATTATACCATTTTGATTAATACTATATACTTCATAATCCTATTTGAATGGTTAGAATACAGTGTGATCGATACTTAATTTTTTCTGAGACTCAGAGTACATGTAACAGTAATAAATCTGTGACTTCAAAAGCAAAATCTGCCTTTAGAATCAGGCTGCTTGGGAGTTCATGGCCACCAAGATAACAAAGACCTGATCCAATTTATAAAGGGTCCAGTTCACAACAGAGATCACGTTTTTCTCTCAGGACAGTGGTATCAGGATCTTAGAGTTGGGGTGTTAATATCAGTCCCTTCCCATGGACAGATTAGTCTGGAGTTCTCTGCACCCCACCATCACTACCACATATACACTGTAGTGAGGTAAATCCCATGATCCCATTTGATCAGCCCCCCCCCAAAAAAAAACTCCAATGCACAGTTCAGTCAATGCTTCTGTCATGGCTTGGAATGAGAATACAAGTACTCTAGATCAGAGAGATCATGCCTGTGCAAACACTCTGCATTTGTGGATCCCATGGGGTCTCCTGGTTTACCAATAAATTTGGGGAAATGAAGTGACACATGAGATGCCTAGAGTTCCACTGGAGAAAGAAGAGGCCAATCAGATGCAGCAAGAGCCTTTATTAGCATTTACAGCTAATGGTTCATAGATAAATTAAATTGCATATAACTCATACTTTAAATGTAAGTAGTGGCTTGTATACTTTGAATGAGACTGTAGGTTTAAGGGGCGATATGAAATTATACATACACATATACATATGAAGTTATACATATACATATACTGTGTTTCCCCCAAAATAAGACCAGTTCTTATATTACGTTTTGCTCCAAAAGACGCATTATCACTTATTTTTCAGTTAGATCTTATTTTCAGGGAAATACTGTACTAAATGCATCCATCTAGCTGACAATTTTAACGGGGGCTTACTTTTGGGGTAGAGCTTATGTTACAAGTGTCCTGAAAAATCGTGCTAGGGCTTATTTTCTGGTTGGGTCTTGTGTGTGTGTGTGTGTGTGTATATATATATAATAACCTAATTGAAAGAAATAAGCAGAAAATATCAAACCCCCTCCCTGAAGTAACTTTCTTATATTGCTGGCCATGTCCTTTATGGGTTCCCAACTACAGGGAAAAGACAAAGTCTCAAACCTTGGTTTTTTTACTGCCCTAGTCTATTCAACCTGTAGCACAATATCTCAATAATTTACTTGTCATTCTTTTTTACCCAAATTTTCAATACAGTATAGTTTTTTCTTTGTAATTTTTTCAAAGGTAGCCTTTACTGTCCCCACCCTAACTCGCCCCCCAAATTACCCCTTTTACATAGGCAACTTTAATAAAGAAAGAATCATAAAGATGTTCAGTTTTTGACTAGAGAAAGGGATATGTTAACAGATTCCACGTAAGTGCTTCCAAAGTGCTCTTTTAAATGGGGTCCATTTAAAAGATTTTTTCATGGATTCCCACAGAAATTCACAGAGGATTGTTTTTATATCCTTAGTAGTAAGGGAAGCTGATATACTTAAACAATTCAAAAGTAAAATATAACTAGAGGGTAAAGCCAAGGAATTTTCAAGTAAAATCCTTCCTTTTACATATATTCCCTGTGTTCATTATCATTCAAAGCAGTTTCTCTGTTATTTTTTTTAAAGCCAAAAATGGCTTATTGTGATTATATATTTAAAGATCAGTTGGATTTTTCTGAATGAGACACCTACTGGCACATCCAAGCTGGTCCTAGTTGCACGACAGTATTAAAGTGAATAATTCAGCTATTTTAAAAAAAAAGCCATGTAATGTATATATCTCAACTCTAAATTACCTACTTTTGCAACTTCAGGAGATGAAATGTATAAGGAATCTTTTAGTTCACATCAAGTCTTTAGATCTTGTATTCTAGCAAAGCCAGAATAGAAAATAAAATGAAACTTATGGCATCAAAAAGAAAAAAGAAAACCCCAACCCACATTTGCTTATTTATGTGCTGGACTATACAGCAATTTGTATTTAAAGAGGAAAGGATAATTTGGAAAGCAAGTGAGCACACATACCCCTTGTCTCCACCTTTGTAAAGAAGCTTACGTTGCAGCAGTGAGATTCAAGGAGGTGCCAAGAGGTGCTTCATGTACATCACTGCTCTGAATTACCTTTTCCCTTTCAAATCCAAATCATTGTGCAGTCCTGCTTATTAGGAATAGTTCTGGTGCTCCCCACAGTAACATGTTAAATATTTAACACTGCTTCTTCGTCTGAACTAATCAGAACTCATGTTTTAGAAATTACAGGGGGGAATTCTTTTTTAAAGAACACAAGTGCCATTTGTTAACAGCAAATCCTGGGAGAGGCGAAGCTTCCCATTAACATCAATTATATTTCCCTCTGAAGAAAGGGATAAGCATATTTTTCCCAAGTGTTCTAGTATGTTGACTGTTGTTGACTTCCCCTTTTCGGCCAGTAATGTATAGAAATAAGTGCAACCTAAAACAAGTAACAGAAGTAAAATGGTTCTCTACGTAAGGTACATTAAAAAAAAATCCATTTGAAATGATACAGACTTGAAAGAAAAGGGATGAACCAATGGAGGAATAAATGTACAACTAATTGCAAAATGGGTTGCAAAGTGAAATTGCTCATGAAAGTTAAATATAGTAAGATATTTAGTCAGTCAGCTAAAAGTGTAAAATAGTATGTGACAACTTATTTTATGCACTAGGAATCTTCTGATAGAAGCCATACCTAAACTTGGATTTAAATAAAGCTTCTATATCTGCAATGCAAAGTTTGCACAATCTCTGGAATGCAGTCAAGAATTAGAATTTTTTTAAAATCCCTTATAGTGCTAGTCTGGATTTTTTCAGATAATTTTAAGAATGGATACTTTTTTTTTTCATCTAGTCACATCCAATTCTCAGAGACTACCTGGACAAGTCCCTGCACTGTTCTTGGCAAAGTTTTTTATTCCCAGAAGTGGTTTGCCATTGCTTCCTTACCAAGGCGCCTTAGATGAAGTGACTGACCCAAGATCACCCAGCTGCATTGTGCCATAGGCAGGACTAGAACTCACAGTCTCCTGGTTTCCATCTTGATGCCTTAACCACTACACCAAACTGGGTCTCATTTTCATCTTAGCAAGCCCCAAAACAATAACTTTTGTTTTGCCAAAGGATGCAAGAAATTATAAATACTTAAGGAATCCTGGAAACTGTAATTTACATATAGTTTGGATCAGGGCTTTTTTTCCCTCATAGAACGCCCAGAACAGAGTTCCGGCACCTTTTTTGGATAGAACCTTATAGGGTAGGCAAGGCGGGTTATATAAAGTGTGTGAGTTCTGGCACCTTTTTTTTTTTTTTTTTACAAAAAAAGCACTGGTTTGGATAACCTCAAGAGCTTCCAAATGGCTAATTTCCTGAAAGGTAGACATGCAGCTTTAAAAAAAAACCAAAACAGGTAGTTCTCAATTTACAACCACAATTCAATCCAAAATTTATGTTGCTAAGTAAGACATTTGCTAAGTGAGTTTTGCCCCATTTTATGACTTTTTTGCCACGTTTGTTAAGTGAATCACTACGGTTGTTAAGTGAATCTAATTTCCCCATTGACTTGGCTTGTCAGAAGGTCACAAAAGGGAATCACTGGAACACCAACTATCATAAATGTGAGTGAGTTGTCAAGCATCAGAATGTAAATCACATGGCCATGGGGGTGTAAAAAATGGTCACAAGCCACTTTTTTCAGTGCCGTTGTAACTTTGAAGAGTCGCTAAGCGAACTGTTGTAAGTTGAGGACTACCTGAACTTACTTATTTGTTTTTATTAGATTTATTAAGGTTGCCTGATTCCAAAAATACATTTTAATCCATTATCACCATCGGAGGAAGCGATAATTAAGAAAAGACTGGACCGTGCGGAAATGGACAGACTCACATTGAGAATCGAAGAAAAAGAAGATACAGAATACTTTCAAACATGGAACTTGTTTTATCAATGGTTGGAAAAACAAGATAGAGAGTAAGAACTTAACTTTTATGACTAAGAAAAAATTAACCCAGACAAGCACTAATGAATTGTAATGACAGAAAATTAATAAAATACTTTAAAAAAAAACAGAACCATTATTTATGACACTTGTTTTCTTCTCATGTTTTGGGACTCCTGGTTGTACCAAAACAAGAGTTCCATTTTGTTCTTCTGTTACATTGAAGTCTGAGCTGGGCCCGTTCTTTTAAAAATTAAGACAATAGGAACTTCGAACATGAACTGGGCCAAAGTTAGGTCTTTTTATGTAACATTTATATTATTGTAAGAGTGCGCCTTTACTTTCACTCACTGGGATCAGGAAAAGCTGTCTTGAAACATGTGGCAGCTCTTTTAATTCAGTGGAAAGCCTGGCAATCGATAAGACTCTCTTTAACAACCAGGCCATAAAAAGATAGCTTCCTAGCTAAAGAAGATGGATGGGCGTAGACTATTTGATGGGGTCTGTTCTATTCAAAAGAAAGCAAGTCAAGAAAAATTAAACAACAGACAGAGTCACTAAACACAAATCTGGCAGGGCTGCTGCCCGTTTTCATTACAGGCCGGGCATCGCAGAGCTCTGTATGACTCTTTAAACCGATTAGCCAACATGGAAAACTTGCTTCCGTGACACACAGCACAGGGAGCAGAGCCCGATCCTTTGCACTGTGAGCAGCTGTTCTTCTCATCGCCTTCCTGAAACGCAAAGGCTTAATTAAACTTTTTTTTTTATTCCTTCATATCGATTCACACAGTCCTTTATCTAAAAGAAAAACAAGTGACAGGAAAAGTTCTCCCCAGTTATGGCTTGAATAGCCTACTTTTCTGCTGATTTGATTGAATAATTTTGGCAATTATTCCTCACCCCGTTTTTTTTTTTTCCCTTGGCAAAATGAGCAGATTACAAGATTTGCATGGTTTTCATTCCAGACTTTTAAATACGATTCAAACATGGTTTGGATTTTGCTGCTGGAAGTAGGGAAGGGAGACATCTTGCAGCCTTTTGTTGCGGCCAGTTGTTTCCATTTTTCAGTGTTTTAAAAAAATAAAACAACTGATGAATAAAGAACAATCAACCAATGGAATAACTTGCCCTCTGAGGCCGATTTTAAAAAATGAACTTAACTTGAAAGAATGGCAAAGAGATTTGAATCGTTTCATTTGGGAAGGCAAGAAAGCTAGGGTTAGATTTAAGATTATCCAAGACATTAGAGAACGTGGAGGACTTAAAGCACCAAATCTGACACTTTATTATGACTCTTGTGCATTAACATGGATGACGGATTGGATTAACTTGTCTA